TCCACTGGGGGAACTTGTAAGAGTTTAGCAAACTGTGGAGCAACAGCATAATATTTCTTATCTGAACCATGTGCAGATGCCATGGTTGCAGGTCCAGCCCACTGTTTTTTAACCACGTCTATGAACAGCTGTGGAGTTGGTACATAACAGAGATGGGGGGGGCTCAGAAAAAAGCCCCTATGATCCACCCTGCTGGGCCTCCTGAATTTCTTTAAAGTATTCATCTTTCTTTAAGGCGGCTGTTAAGCGAGCCTTATGCAATAAGGATTTGAATTTATTAGGGGGAAATAAACCTGTAAAGGCAGGTTGATCTTGAATTATGCCCTCATCATCTGATAGGTCAGAATGCCTCTCTTCCTCAAACACAAGGGCTTCACTAACTCTGGATGCTGCAGGAGAATGAGAACCAGTAAGGCTGACTGCAGGGGAAATTCTAATATGGGCAGAACGCTCTGAAATAACAGAGCCAGAGTGGTGACCATGAATGTTAGCTGCCATTTGAGAAGCAACAGCCTGATCAATCAGAATGCTCAATCCTTCAGGAGTTAACAAGGCATAGGGGAATCTCTTGTAGAAGCAACTGCTGCCACATGCCCACCAAATTCAGGAGTTGCAGGAGTTAATAATTGGCCTGCAAAACGGTCTTGTAAGGTGGATTGTTCTTGTTGAAGAACATTACCCTCTCCCTCTGATGACCAAGCCTGGTTAACAGTTGAAATGGGAGGAGGGGGGGTAGATGGGGGAGGAGAAGCTTCCTCACCAGGCACAGTTGCAGGAACCTCACTAATTTGCTTCTCAGAGGATTTATGCATCTCTGCTAAATCCTTTTCCCCTGTTTTGGAAGAATGCTTGCGTTTGGAAGTTGATTTCTTCCCAGTGGACTTAGTATTTCCCTCCCCTTGGGAAGAACGATCCGCCATCTTCAGTATACTCACTGCGACCAAGATGTCGACTGGAGAAACATTTAGTTTCACTTCCGCCACGTGGGTTGAAAAAACAAGATGGCATCGACTCTGGCATTAAACGCGATGGCTGCCAGGTCACATTGAGCAGGATCAACTCTGCTCCAGAGGTAGCTGTCTAGGAAACCTAGAAACTGACCTCCTCAGCGCCCCTACAGCCACGATAGAAACACTGGCTGGAATGCCACAAGGAGAGGCAAGGATAAACTTGCCCCTCTTCCCAAAACTCCGTTGATGGTAAAAGGGAGAGAAATCAAGGATTCAAACCTCCCCAAGCTTGCTGGTGGCAAAACGGCAAAAAAACCTCTTCAAAGGTGCCGCGGTGCTTCAAATAACCACCCTACAGCTGATCGGCGGTTTCGGGATAGCTGCGGCGTGGGCGGCGGCCGAATTTAGCGATCCTGATTTGGAAGTCAGGAAATCGCTCTTTCCATTGGTGGTAATGTGGTCTAAGCCCCTTTTAGACAATCGTTGGTGGGATAGAGCAGAAAAAAACCCACCAAAACAAATAGGGAAAGGAAAAAAAGTTCCCTTTTAAAATGGGGCTTTCAAAATGGCCTCCGCCAGGAGCGAAGCAAAACCTGGAAAACCAGATCGCTCCAACAAACGACTGGCAGGCTACAAAAGGGGAGAAAAAGAGAAAAAATATATATATAGTCTGGTAGACCGGTACCTTAGAAAAATTTAAAGAGGAAGTAACAAATTTAAAAAATTAGAAATTAAGTGGTCAAAAGTAAAAAGAAAAACTTACAATATTATGATATTGAACAGACCTGGGCTGTAGAGCCAGATCTGCAGGCGATGTTTCTCTTAGGCTGACTGAGTCTAAACTGAGCCTGAAAGGGGAGGAGCAAGAAGAGTGGTCAAAAATTATGACTCAGCCAGCGTCAGATCCGACTGATACAACCCTCATCTGGACAATGTCACACCCTCATCAAGGAAATGTAGAGCAGTTCCTCTGATACTGATTTCATGTAATTATGTACCATCAGGTCTTAACAGCAACTCTTAACAACCACATAAGTATATTTTATCAATGCCAATCTATCCCTAATCTGATATTTCAGGTCTTCTAATAGTGCACTCATTGCCACTGTAACTGAGTCCATTCGCCTTGCTGCTTTTCATCTTCCTCTTCTCTATCCTTCTACCTTTCCCAACACTAAAGGCTTCTCTAGAGAACTAGGTCATTGCATAATATGTCTGAAGTAGGATACTTTGAGCCTAGTCATTAATGCCCGTAATCTGGATACTGGGTTAATTTGTTCTACAATCTATTTGTTGGTTTTATTGGCTGCTCCTTTCATACCAGTTCTTCAATCCCATAGAGACCCCTGGGTCTTCAGTTGCCCATCTTTGACAGCAAAGGAGATGTTCCCTCCCTACCTCTCTCTTTTCTCTGCTTTTGGTATGGAAGGAACCTCTACTCTGCTTCATTGCCAAGGCAAAACAGGATGTGAACGTGCACTCCAGTACTTCTTCAAGGTACCCTGATTTTCTTTCAGCTCCTTCACTCTATAACAGTGCTTTAGTGTCACCATCCAAAAGAGCAGGTAGTCATGATAGACTTCCATCTTCCTCTTTTCAACACTCCTGGCTCATAACAAAGCTTCTAAGGCTGATTATTTGACATTTCTGAAGACTTTTCAATGCATTACATGCTAGAGTCTATAATTTAGTATTATTATTGTTTTCTACTGCAGATTGTTGATGTAACTTGATGCCATTACAAGCCACCAAGAGACTTTTGATTGTGCTAGGTAGAAAAGAAACAAACAATCCAACAGCAGGTTTCATGGCCAAAAATTCTTTTCCACCAATGTTTTTTGTTGGATTGCAAAGCATATGAACATTGAAAGTAGCGAATTTAACTTTACTTCAATTTTTAAATATATTTTAAAGCAAAAAAGAGCATTTTAAAACACTCTTTTCCCAATCTAAGATGCACTTGCCTAAATAGAAATAAGGGAGTATTTTATGCAATGTCATGGTGCATCTTTATTTGCACAGCTCAACTCAGGAAGCCTTCTGCTATTAACTTAAGGAACAGGCAATTAGTCAATGTTGTATTTATTATTATTATTCCCATACCTAGCCTGCATGTTATTTATTTATTTGATCTATTTATTCCCTTTGTTTATCCCTGTCCCCCCCCCAAAAAATTAAGGCAGATAACTATTTTTTCCACACATACAGTGTACACTGTATATTTTTATAGATCTCTGAAGGAAATTAGGGCAAACTGGGAGGAGGACCAAGTATCTGGACAAAAAAAGAAATACGAATAGGATGGGCCCAGTGAAGAGATAATGTATAATTCCAATTAATCGTTCTTCAGGACTATTTTCAGTTTAAATTAATAAAGTTGTGTTACAAATCATGATTGCACAGTACACATTAAGTTAGTTCATATGTCCTAACATTAAACGGTGGCAGAGGATGATGGTCCATGGTCATGAAAAAAAAGTTGGAATGAGAATCAATATACTTACGTCCACAAAATTCAACAAGCAGGAAAAAATTCTTGGAAAGATTACTGTAGAGGCTTTTATCTGTTGCTTACTTATATCAAACAATTCTGAAATGCAGCATCTATTTCCCATTACTCCTTTTTTATGGTTTTCCAGAGATTTTTTTATAAGTTGATATTTTAGAAGTGGAAAGTTGTTATTCACTTTTGCAGTAAGGTGGAAAATTATTATTTAGTTTCACTGTGTGTGGAAATGCACAGTTCCTAACTAAATGTCTGGTCAGTCAGTTTAATTTGCATATTTATAGTTCTTATGATTGGTTAGTAATTGAAAAAAAAGGTAACACAGGGGCAGTATCCATTGATGTCCAGTTATAACGACTAATATTACTATTAATTTCCATACACTTTCAAAGTACTTCATTTGTAACTGATACAAACATTATATAAAATTGATTAGCATTATTATCACTTCCATAGTAGAAACAAAGAGCAATGTCATTGAGACACAATAGCTTGCCAGAAATATCTGGCAATAAAATTTACAATTTACAACTGTGTTTCTTTGCCAATATATTATACTCTACCTATTTAAGTTTCAAAGAAAACTAGTTAATTCAATGTTACATCAGAGATCAGCTTGACCTATTCCGTGACATGTGCCGAAGAAATTAAATTTTGACACAATGAAAACTTTTTTTCCCACTGAAAATAAATGTTGCAGCTAGTTATTATTTGCAGAGAATTTTTCTGTCTCCATCCCAGGATTTTAAACTTTTGCCAATAGTTAAAATATTTTTGGGCATATAACAATGTGGGAGTTGAGAGAAAAATACAGGAATCTAATCAAGGCATATGTCAAAACCAGGTATCAAAACTAAAGGCTATTTTAAAACAAAATTGAAAGGCTATGTTGAACATTAAAGTTATAGAAGGAAATATTTTGCAAGAGAAAGTTAGATTTAGGCTGTAAACATATCTTTACAACCCTCTCCAGGTGTTTACAAAGTATAAACATGACGCAAAATTGGAGCAAATAAATGTATTAATTTCTCCACTGTAACATAGCCATATTGATGGGAAAACTATGAAGAACATATCTTTAAATGAATGGATGAATGAAGGTGGTACCATCACAATTTCATTTTGCCTTATATTGCATTCACTGTTGAAAGGGTTGAAAATCTTATCCACAGAATGAAAAATCGAAAATGAACAATGAACAGAATAAAATAAAATGATAAAACATCTGCACATTTGTGGAGATTAATTTTGAAAGTATATTTTTCAAACATCTATGTTTCCTTCAGATTTTTTCCTCCATTATCTTCTCTTTTATCATTGACTTATAATTAAAAGACCACCAGGAAAAGTATTGTATTATTTTTGAACATTTCAAATTATGTTTAATTTGAATTTAAGGCAAGAAATCTCAAGGTTGCATCATTGTCACATAACTAACGTTGCAACCACTGCTCTCCTCTTGCCAGTTATTAGATATACAATGGGCAAAATATTATTTTTATGAAGCACACTTACAATGACATTCATAAATCCTATGTACTTACCTGTGCTGGGCGCAGCAATTGTCCATGTTTAACATGGAGAACAAAACCTTTTTCACAAGAAGTAGCACATTCTAGGTGGCCTCGACTACTGGAGCTACAGTTTGCAAGAGTAGCATGATGGATCTGTGGAAGCACACAGCTTCCCTTCTCCCTGCAGGTATGTTGGGTGCAGCTGTTGGGAAGAGAAAGGGGAAACATGTACAAACAAAACACAGATACACACATAGATAAAATGAGAAAAATAAGCGTATAGTGCCCCAAAACAACAATAGCAAATCTTGTAGCACTGACATAAATTTTGTTTTGTAAACAGTAAAACTCCCTAAATCAACATTTGCTATTTTATTATATGAGCAGATTTCTTCTCAGCTGTTAAATTAGAGCCAGTTTGCTCAAGTGGTTAAGGCACCAGGATAGAAAGTAGACTACTGTGAGTTGAACTCCTGCCTTAACCGTGAAAGCCAGCTGGATGTTCTTGGGCCAGTCATTCTCTCTCTCTCAGCCCATCCCAACTCCAGAGTTGTTGTTGTAGGGAAAATAGAAGGAGGAAGATGTGTTGGATACAGTGGCCACCACATGATATTTGTAAAAATAAGAAAAGCAGGATACATATAAATATAAGCACTTAAACAATAATTAAAATCAACCTACTAAAAAAATACTGAAGCAAACAGGTGACCCAATTCACCATGCTGAAGCAATAAAAAGGCCCTCAGTCACTTCAGGATAATGGTGAACTAGAAGACTCCAGTCTAACTCCAGTTTTCTAGTCCAATATTTTCAGGTCTAATTGTAATAATACTGAAGCTACCCAGCCTGGAACAACCTGAACATAGCAAAAAATACTACAAGTACAGTGCCTGCTGAAGCCAGAGAATGAACATTGGAGCTTACCTGAATGTTCGATCTATGTGTGCTGCAGGAGAGTCCAGCAATGGATTCAAGTTTAGCTTGGTTGGCCAAAGACTGAGTTGAATTTGCCTAGCCACACCTCTTTCTCCCATGAGCCTTCAGTGTTTCAACGAAGAGGTCTGTAGAAGATGTAGCAATGATGATAGAATAATGTCCACTATAACTAGGTGTTGGATGCTGGACCGCTACAGTAGGGCGGGGTTGGACTCTCCTGCAGCGCACATAGATTGAACATTCAGGTAAACTCCAATGTTCAATCTCCTGTGCGCTGCTTGGAGAGTCCAAGCAATGGGATATACCCAAGCTAAGTATCCCCAGGGCGGGAGTCCGAGCGGTCAGGTGTCGTTCGCCTGGTAGAACCTGCTGCAGGACTCTTCTGCCAAACGAAGCCTCGGCCGAGGCAAAAACGTCCAACTTGTAATTTCTGATAAAGGTAGTGGGAGAAGCCCAAGTTGCAGCCGTGCAGATCTCCAATATGGAAGCCTGAGTAGCCCAGGCTGCTGTGGTGCAGTGCTACGAGTTGAATGCGCAGTGATGTTTCTAGGCACTGGAGTAGATTGATGTTCGTAAGCCATTGTGATGCAAGCTTTGATCCATCTCGCAATTGTAGATGGGGTAACTTTCTTCCCCATGGCAGTAGGCTGGAATGACATAAATAGTGATTCAGACTTCCTGAATGATGCGGTCCTGTCAATATATTTGCGGAGTGCCCTACGAACGTCGAGCATGTGCCAACGTCGTTCTCTAGGATGTGCTGGGTCAGGGCAAAAGTTAGGTAAAACCACCTCCTGTGCCCTGTGAAACCAAGAATTGACTTTTGGTACGAAAGTCGGGTCCAACCTGAGGACCACCCTGTCGGAGTAAAAGATGCACAGATCTCCACGTACCGACAGTGCCGCCAGTTCGGAGATCCTTCTTGCAGACGTGATTGCTATCAAGAAGATGACCTTGAAGGTAAGTATTCTGAGGCTGGTGGATCCTAAGGGCTCGAACGGAGCAGACGTGAGTGCTTGCAGAACAAGAGGCAAGTCCCAGGAAGGATACCTATGGACTGGAGAGGCCGTAAGTTAGCAATTCCCCGAAGAAAACTCCTCACCTTGGGGTGTTGAGAGAGAGGGATAGGACCCTCTCCCTGTAGAATAGTCGCTAAGGCGGCCACCTGTCTGCGGAGCGTGTTGGCAGTAAGTCCCCGTTTGAATCCTGAGTGTAGGAAATTCAAGACGTCCGGAAGAGAAGCTGCCCTGGGAGGAATGTGCAATTTTCGGCACCAGCTAGAGAAAGTTGACCAAGTGGCGTCGTAAATCCTGGTGGTAGACGGACGATGAGATGCCTCGATGACGGAAACGACCTCGCTTGAGAATCTGGAGTCCCTCAGGATTTCCCGCTCAATCGCCAGACGGCCAATTGGAGCCACTGGGGCTCGGGATGTTGAACTGCCCCCTGGCTTAGGACAATCCTGTCTGGCGTAATCCTCCACGGGCGGGACACTGACAGTGACACTAGGTCCGCAAACCAAACCTTCTGAGCCAGTGCGGAGCCACCAACAGAATTTCTGCCTGCTTATCCAGAAGCTTCCGGATGACCCTTGGTAGTAGAGGTGTCGGAGGAAATGCATATAGAAGGCCTCGAGGCCAGGGCACCCGAAGGGCGTCTGTCGCTTCTGCCCCTAGCGTCAGAAATCTGGAAAAGGACCGTGGTAGGTGAGTGTTCTTTGGTGTTGCACGCATGGTTGGCCAAACCTGGTCGTCAGTTGGTGAAACAGGTCTGGATGGAGACGCCATTCGGAGTGGTCGACGGTTGTTCGACTCAATCAGTCCGCCTGTTTGTTGTGTGCGCCTGAAATATGTTCCGCTTGGAGGGAGAGCAGGTGTGATTCCGCCCAGAGGCCAAGGCTCGCTGCTTCGGACATCAGGTCCTTGGACCAGGTGCCTCCCTGCCTGTTCACGTGTGCCTTGGCGGTCACATTGTTGGTTAACAGCAACACGTGACGGTTGATTAGCGAGAGGTGGAAATGACGGAGAGCTAGGTGGGCAGGTCTGAGTTCCAACCAATTTATGTCATGTAACAGATCCTGTGGTGACCATCTGCCCTGTGCCATCTGGGAACCCAGGAGAGCCTCCCCAGCCGAATAGACTGGTATCTGAAGTTAGTGTTAGACGTGGTGGTTCCTTGAAGAGACAGCCTTTCTCTAGGGAAGGTGACGTCCACCAGTTCAGGGAGTGGAGAACTTTTGGAGGCACTCTGACTCTTGTTGTGGAGTGACTGATGCCTGCACGTTGGCTCGGTAGGAGGAACCATTGTAAGGTTTGGGAATGTAACCTTGCCCAAGGAACGATGGCCGGACATGAAATCATTTTCCCTAGTAACTGGGACAATACTGCGAGGGAGACAGACCTGGCTGACCTGACCCGATGTATCAAGGCCCGTATGCTGACTAGATGTTCTGATGATAGAAAAACCTGGCAACTGACTGTGTCTATCCGGGCACCTAAATGAAGGATAGAATGGGATGGAATTAACTGGCTCTTTTCTAGATTTATTGAAAACCTGTGAAGTTGCAGAACCTGAATAGTCTCTGACAAATCCTGTCTCGCCTGCCTGATGGATGAAGATTGAATCAAAATGTCGTCTAGGTAATATTGAAGCCTGATTGGGCGAGCCCGCAGATGGGCTGCCACCACGTCCAGGAACTTTGTGAATGTCCTGGGGGCAGAGGACAGGCCGAATGGAAGGGCCCTGTATTGGAAGTGTTGCCCTGCGTAACAGAATCTGAGATATTTCCTGTGTGAAATCCGAATTGGTATGTGCAGGTAGGCTTCCTTTAGATCTATCGATGTAAGCAGATCCCCCTATCTGATGCAAGTTAGAATAGAGGTTAAGGATTACATCTTGAATCTCTTGTATTTGATGTATTGGTTGAGTCTTTTTAGATCTAGTATTCCCCTGCAACCCCCCGATTTCTTGGGAACCAGAAAGAGGATCGGGTAGAAACCGAGACCCTTCTGCGAGACAGGCACCGGTTCTATTGCCTAGATGGAAAGTAGATGAAGGATCTTGGCTTCCATCAGAGACCTCCTGGTGGCATCCCTGAGAAGAGTGCAAGAGATGAATCTCCTTGGAGGGAGGGATGAAAACTCTAATGTGAGACCGAGCCGGATGGTTGGCAGAGCCCAGGCGTCGGTTGTGATGAGCTCCCATTGGGCTGAGAACCTCAAGAGGCGGCCTCCAATGGGAATGTGTGACTGGGAGTCATTTGGACCTGCGGTAAGGTCTACCGCCGGCCCCTCGAAAGGGTCTCCTAGACTGGGGTTGTCTAGACCTGTCCCTGAACTGAGCCCTATCCTGGGATCGGTCTGAAGTTGGAGGGTAAGTCCTCTGATAGGTTGGGGCGGAGTAACCGCCCTCCGCCCCACAAAATGACTGCCTGCAATAATATGGAGAGTATCTCCTGTCTGTCCTCCTGTGAGACAGGGGAAGTACCTTCCTTTTATCCTTGGTCTCTACCAAAATGGGATCTAAAACATCACCAAAAAGATTATTGCCCTGAAAAGGAGCAGACGCCAATTTCCATTTGGATTTCATATCGGCTTGCCAATGGCGAAGCCATAATAATCGTCTGGAAGTCACGTTAGAGGCCAGGGCCCTGGAAGCGAACTTAGCCGCATTAAGGGTTGCATCAGCAGAGTATTCTGCTGCAGCAATTAATTTGTTGATGTCCTGGTGTAATCTGACATCTCCATGGGGAGCTCTTGCCTGCATTTGGCGCAGCCACAGGAGGGAGGTTCTATTAAAGAAGGAAGCTGCCGTGGCTGATCTGATTGCCCAGGCAGCTGCTTGATGTGTTTTACAAACTGACATCTCAGCTTTCCTATCCTCGGTCTTCAGCCCTTCTGCAGAGTCTGAGGGGAAAATATTGGAAGATGCTAGATTGCAAAGGGAGTATCTACTGTAGGCAACTTAAGCATGTCCTCTACCTCCTGTTCTACAGTGTTCATTTTTTGTCTAATCCGCTGGGATTAGACAAGGACCCAGGTTGAAGCCATTGCTTCTTGATAATGTCTATGAATAATCTGGGAGAAGGAACAGCGTTCTGGATAGTGACCGGTTCTGTAAATAATCGAGCATGGGGATCCTGCTCAGCCGAGCAGTCAGATGCCCCAGCCACAATCCCTAGATTGGCCGTGGTTTTGGCCTTGTATAACAAGGTCTTGAACATGCTAGGGTTGAAAAGGCCAGTGAAAGCTGGTTTGTCTGGAGATC